ATATGGATAAAAACAATTGGTCTATTAGCAATGTTTGAATAATTTAACCAAAAATACTTTGATTCATGAGTTTCTGCCACAGTTTAATTATTTTTTTGTCATTTGTGTTGGGTTTTAAAAATGATTTTACTTGGCATTAAAAAGTCTTAAAATGTCTTAAATTTAACTTGCTTTAAACTGTAGGAACCCTGAGTACAGTTGTGAGATATATTATGTAGATAAGTGATTAGTTATGTAGCAGATCCTTTTTGAGTGATTAGGGGTGACAAAAAAATAATAATAAATTGCAGAGGTAAACTATGTTCTTTCCCATTGTAGCCATCTAATTTGGGGCAAAAAGACCATTCCTGAAATTGCTCCTGAAGAAGAGGATGAGGATGTAGCAACAGAACATCTTCGAGTCGCTGCTGGAGCAGCCAGCTCAGACATACTGCAGATCAAGCAGCTCTCTAAGGTCTATGAACATCGCAATAAGAAGGTTCATGCTGTCAAGAAGCTGTCTGTGGGCATCCCTGTAGGAGAGGTAAGCCTCAGGAATCATGGAAAACAAGCAAACTGAAAGCACCGGGGTTATAAAAAAATGTTGCTTTAACTTATAAACCTTTTGAGTTTAATTACCCATGAAAACACATAAATATGTTAAGGTTACAAGCTTTATACTTACACTGGTCACTGTGTAAGGTAAAAACACTGTCAACACTGCATTTTAAATTCAATAAAGTCATATATTTAAACTTAGATGCTCTTGGAAAGGTTTTACAATTCATAAAACAATAATAATATCTGCAAATAAAAAGACAGGCATTTCTTTTCTAGTTGATTCCTTTTTTGTTATGAGGCAAATTTTCAGAAAGTTACTTCTTAATTAGAAATGGATTATTTCTAATCTAAAACGGTCAACTGAAGGCGAATTATTCACTTATTAATGATTGTGTCTTAGTTTCATCATCTACTACTGCTTAATATTGAAATGCTTTGAGTTACAAAGAAATGAATTTGTTTTTCAGTGCTTTGGCCTGCTGGGAGAAAACGGCGCYGGAAAAACTACWACCTTCAAGATGCTGACTGGAGATGTTAGCCCAACCGACGGCTCAGCACAGATCAGGGACAGAGATGGGTAAGCTGTGTATTGATGTTGATGATTTTATTCACACGCACACTTTATGTTTACACATTTATGTTTTTTAATGATCTTCCAATTCCAGTACTATTATTTATTTTTTTTGCATCAAATCTTTATATTGATTTATGTTTGTAGAACACTATAAAAATGTAATCTTAATAATGTGATAAAGAACGTGTCTGAGAAAATAAAAATATTGATTCATATTTATGATAGCTTCAAATAATCAGTTTTTCATTGTTTTGTTTTCTTTTATTTTTCCCCGCAGGCGGTTGGTAGACATCATGGAGTGCCGCTACAAGGGAATTAACATCGGCTACTGTCCCCAGGTGGATGCACTTGATGATCTGCTCACCGGAGAAGAGCATTTGTACTTCTATGCTCGCATTCGTGGCATCCCAACGAGGGAGATCGGTGGGGTAAGGAAGAGCTGCGGAAGCAGCACTGTCTTTCAAAGCTTTGCATAGTGATAACATCATCCATAAAACGACACAGAATCTGATAGAAATTCCAAGGTGCTTTCTCACTGCGAGACTAGGAAGTATCACTTCCATGCATACCTAATCAGAGCGTGTGAAGTGTTGAGTGATGTATGTTGAAAGCTTTACAGTCGGGCGAATCAGAAAAGCTTCTGTTGTCAGCTTGGCTCTGAGTCCAAACTTCAGAATTCAGCTGAAGTTTCCATCGATACGGACGTTGTTTGCATCTGTTCAGATTTGGGTTTAAATGCATTGATGATGGTAGGATCCTATTAGATCTGTCACTTCAGTTTTATTCTTCTCGTTTATCCTTGAGAGAAATAATCAATCTTACTTTTGTGGTAATTACTTCATGTGGCTGTCTGTCACCACTGCCAACATTAGAGGAATTAGCAGTGTAACAAAAAGAAAGTAGAGTTTAGAAGGACTTAGGAAACATTTTGCATATAAATCAAGTAATCTGTGTCTTTCTGTCAACCAGTATGTTCTTTTGTATCTGTTCCAACTTTTTTTATCTACTCCAAACTTGGTTGGGTGCATTGATTGATTCAGAGTTTTAATWTATTTATTTTTTTATAACCACCAGATAAACCTTTTCATCCCAAGTGTGTTTTATTAGGTACAATAGCAGCTGTGTAAAATGGAGTTAGCTTTATGTTTGTGCGTTCTCTTCATCACTTTGCAGAAGTAAATACCAGACAATGCTGGGTTTTTGTTCCCATGGCAATGCAACACACAGATTATACTTGCACAGCTTTGTTCTGTAGCAATCGTAGTACTTACATTGAAAAAAATAACTTGTGAGACGTACTTGAAAAAAAATCCTCTAACAAATTTGCACTAACGTTTGTTAATTAAATTTAAATGCTACAAATTCATGTAGTATTTACTCATCATTATCTAGTAAAAGTTATTAAGAATATAGTTAAAGATATGTGAATAATCATATAAATTTTACTTAATTTGCTCAATTAAATCTTATAACGTATACTTGATCAAATTAAGTAAAATTTACCTGATTCACAAATCTTTAACTATTTTTAATAACTTTTACTAGATAATGATGAGTAAATATTACATGAATTTAGCATTTAAATTTACTTAACCAACATTAGTGCAAATTGTTAGGATTTTTTTCTAGTAAATCTTACAAGTTCTTCATAACAGTGCACATGCGTCAAGCACAACATTGTAGCATGACACCTCACAGCTACAGAGAGAGGTGTAGCTCTTCTTGTAGTTCAAGACTTCACCACCAGGTGGCAGTTTTGAAGAACCTTTATTGGATTCTTCTTCATGAACAAAACAGACAAAGTGAAACTCACAGGTCTTATTAATGACTAGGCCTACCACTCTCACTTATGGTTACTTCTGCTGAACGGTTTAACACAAGTTAACAAATAATGAACACACAAATTAGAGTAACACAACAGACTAATTGCTGAAAGAACAATGTTAACCAATTCCCTAAAATGATTTAACAACAACAAACATGAATCCTACCCACAATCCTCCACTGCAGTCACATGACAAACAGCCAAACACAGCAGAATGCTACAATATGCATTCCCTGTTCCCTGACAACTAAATATCACCTACATTATGCCATCAAACTATTGCACACCAACAAATGTGTTCAAGCAAAAGAAACCAGACAACTTATGTTTTATTTCGACCATGTCTTGTCCTCTCCTTGAAAAGTGAAGAAAGGGAATGAGGAGCAGCAGCCTTTGTGTGCGCATGCGCCCTCAGTTTTAGCCCAGATGTGTAGAAGTTACTTAAAATATTCATGTTTGTGTGCTGTCCAGAAAAAGCACTTAAATATTACTTATAAAAAAATAACATTTACTTTTTTGTACAGTACTATTGAAAAATTAAATAATGCGTATTGTTTATTTAGTAAATTCTAGTAGTTTAAAGATTTTGATATTTTTTTGTAAAATTTAAAAGAACAATTAAATAAATGTTACTACACCCAAAAATCCTTTTTTTCAGTGTACTGTAGCTGAGAGTAATGTCACTTTCCAGCTGATTTAAATTAAAACAATGATTATACCTTTATCCATATAATATTTGAAGCTGTAAATTACCACAGCGATCCAGCCAGGATAAAGGAAGAGTTTTGTGAATGACTTTGCCAACCCATGAATCTTGCTCTATAGTTCCCTCCACTGACCGCACATTTCAGTTCCAACCCTGCATGACCTAACAAAGATTTTATTAGCTCAGATACTATACTTGTAGTAAGTCTCTAAAAGCTATTATAGAGAGTCAGCCACGACGAGATTCAGTAATGTTGTCATAGATTCAAATCAAAGTGGCAAAAAAGTCATTGACATGCAGAAATTAGAAACATTTATATCTTTATTTACTTTATTAAAATAATTTATAAAAATGTAATGTCATTTCTCAAAAGTAGTGATAGGAGCGACTGCAGTTGTCATATCAAATCTAGTTTGAATGCAAAAAAAACCCTGTTTTTGCTCTACCCCATTTTCCACAGAGTCTCTGCATTGATTGCCTCTGACACTCTTAGTCATGTTATCAGCAGAACTGAAGGCAAACATTTTCAAGTATGCCCAGAGACACAAAAGACACGCATAGACAATAAAACACAGAAATAGATGTCTGACACTAATCACTGTCACCGCTGCTGCTGCAGCACCTGTTCTCTGATCAGAGTAATGACAACAGTGGTTGTAATAGCCACAACACTGGTGTCAGGCTAATAAAAAAAAAAAAAAAAAAAAAAAATCACGCTATATATAGAATTCCTCTTATGATGTCTCCCGCTGACAGTCCCGTAGCTGTGGATAATGAGACAAGCCTTAATGGGGTCATTTCGCATTGACATGGTTTTGTCGGCTTAATGAGCTGTTACATCAAAGGTGTTGCAAAATGGGTTTTATGAGGAAACCTGGAAAAAAGCTTCATATTTTGATCTGAACCTGTCAGGAATGTGATATATTGTGCATACTAATCATTCAAATTTGGATTCAGAATACTGAGTAGTTTTCTAAAGTGTCATTTTATGGACATAGTTTAGAGACCCTGGATCAGTGAGCTGAACAGAAAACCCCACACTTAAGGAAAAAAATCCCATTTCATAGCAAAAGCCAAAAATCTAAGTGAACTAAGTGAACTGAGGTATCTATTGCGTTAGCTTGCTTCATTGATCTAGTTTGCAGACTTGCCTGCTGATGGGGAAAAAGGCCATAGTTTAATGGGAAATGACTTCAGGCTATTTCAAAGCACACTGGTATTTACAGCACATGCTTCCATGATTAATAACCAAGAGTAGAACGTTTTTAAATGTCTAGGAATGGTTATGATTCAGCGAAGTTTCTGATTGTAGCTCACTAGGATTTAAACACAGAGAATCCACTGGTGTGCACCAAATGAATTATTCTGGATCAGGTTTTGCAGCCCCAGAATTACATAGATATAATAAAGTCACCAGGTAAAGTCATCATTGTTGTGCAAACATCATTAAATATTCATGTGGACACAGCCAAAAGACACCTCAAGTAATTTATAGTGCTGAAGTACAGGATAGAGTAAGCAATTATGGTAAAAGTATGAATCGCTACTAGAAACAGGACCACTCTCTACTCGTTGACCTTATAAATCAACATTTTTTCTGCTTTGAACAGGCTCAAAAATAAAACTAGTGGCACACTGGGCCATCACAGAGAACATCTTTTTATTTTAATTGCAATGATGAATTAAAGGTCTAGGAAATGAACAAGGTTTGTTTACAACCCCAGTTCTCATGAACTTGGGATGTTCTGTAAAACATAATAGAAACTACATACTTTTCAAATTATATTCAATTGAATACACTACAATGACAAGATATTTAATGTCCAAATGGATAAACTTTATTGCTTTTTTTGTAATATTCACTCATTTTGAATTTGATGCCTGCAACACATTCCAAAAAAAGCTGGGACAGGGGCGTGTTTACCACTGTGTTCCATCATCTTTCCTTTTAACAACACTCGATAAGTGTTTGAGAACTGAGGACACTAATTGCTGAAGCTTTGTAGATGGAATTCTCTCCAAGTCTTGCTTGATGCGCAACTTCAGTTGCTCAACAGTCCGGGGTCTCCGTTATTGTATTTTGCGCTTCATAATGAGCCACATATTTTCAGTGGGAGACAGGTCTGGACTGCAGGCAGGCCAGACTAGTACCCACACTTTTTTTTACTACAAAGTTGTAACACGTGTAGAATGTGGCTGAAATCAGGGGCTTCCCTGAAAAAGATGTGGTTCATTTGGGGGCATGTGTTACTCCAAAACCTGTATGTATCTTTCAGCATTAATGGTGCTTTTACAGATGTGTAAGTTAYTCATGCCAWGGACACAAATACATACTTTGGAACTTTGCCCTGATAACAATACAGTCAGTCATATTCCTCTTTGGCCCAGATGACATGACATAACATGATTTCCAAAAACRATTTGAAATGTGGACTCGTCAGGCCACAGGACACTTTTCCACTTTGTGTCAGTCCATCTTAGATAAGCTCGGGCCCAGAGAAGCCGACAGTGTTTCTGGGTGTTATTGATATATGGCTTTGGCTTTGCATGGTAGAGTTTTAATTTGCACTTGTAGATGTAGCAACAAACTGCGTTCACTGGCAATGGTTTTCTGAAGTGGGCTAATACAGTTCAAGAATGATGTGGGTTTTGAATGAAGTGCTGCTTGAGGGATCAAAGATCACGAGCATTCAATGTTTGTTTGGCCTTGATGCTTATTTGCAGAGATTTGTCCACATTGAATGTTTTGATGACATGAACTGTAGATGAAATCCCTAAATCCCGTGCAATTTTACGTTGAGAACCATTCTTAAACTGTTGGTCTATTTGCTCACACAGTTGTTAAAAAAAAGTGGTGAACTTTGTCCTAACCTTGCTTGTGAACAACTGAGCCTTTCAGGGATGCTCCCTTTATAGCCAATCACAACACACACCTGTTTCCAATGAAACTGTTCACCTGTGGAATGCTCCAAACAGGTGTTTTTTGAACATTTCTTACATTTCCTGGTATTTTGTTGTCCCTGTCCCAGGTTTTATGGAACACGTTGCAGCCATTTAGCTATGAAAAGTTATTACAGTCTCAGATTAGATGACTATTAAACTATTATATTCCTTCTGTATTGATTAGAAGTTTGCAGCAGCCATTCTGATTGGTTTTGTCCGTTATCTTCAGGCATCAACAGGAGTGTGAATAATGAGAAATAATAAAGGGAAAAAAAAACAACAACTGTAGTGTCTGGTATTTTTTCTCATCCCCAATCTAATTCCCAGCATGCTTCTTTTATAGGTGGTGAACTACCTGCTGAAGAAGCTGGAGCTGAATTACCACAGAAACATCATTACTGATGGTTATAGCTGTGGCACCCGCAGGAAGCTCTCCACTGCACTCGCTCTCATCGGGCATCCACAAATCCTGCTCCTGGTGAGGCAGACACACACACACTGCTGCACCTGCCCACATAATTGCCCGATTGATCACCAGAAAATAAATATTAGGCCAAAAGTGCACTGTTTTTATTGAAATGGTCTTAGAATAAAGTAGATATCGATCTGCTCTATTGGAAAGATTTCATACAGTTAATTAATTTGCTGCGACAAGCTTATCCAGTATATAGCTTCCATGTAGCTTTACACTTTGTTTCTCCATTATGCCTCTATTAAATGGTCTCACTTTGTTCCCACTCTTTTCTTTTGGTCCTAAACTTGCTCTCCTTTTTATTTAATTTGTTTTTTCAGACCCTTTCTTTTTTTACAGGATTTTTCCTGTTTTTTTTTTTTGTGTTTATTTTTTTTACTTTCTCGCCACGCTCATCTGCACTG